TATATATATATAGTGTCATTTTCTTTGTTTAATTATTGTTTTCCAGCATTTAAAAAATTTTTAAGTCCTGTAAAAGTTTGTAAAAGAAATAAATAAAAATGTTCAAGAATCTACATTTAATAAACATGTTTGAAATAAACACAATTTAAAAAAGGGAAAAATGTCAATCTCAAAACTATCATTACTAAATCAAACTACAAAAACATTTTTTTTACCTTTGGATAAAAAGAAAATAAATTTAAAAAAACCTGTTCAACCCTGTCAGGACAAGTCTGTTTTATCAACACAAGTACTGAAGCTGGAGGACAACATTAAAAAAGTAGAAATTAAACTGACAGAAGCTCAGTCTGCCAACAATCACCTGATCCAGGTATTTAAATTAGATTCAATTTGTTGTGAAATTCATCTCGACCAGATTTTACATTTAAGGATTTTTATTTTATTTTATTACTTTATGTGTTCCTGCAGGAGAAAAACGAACTTCTCCTCAAAGTCCAGAACTTGGAGGTGCAGCTGCAAAGAACCACAGAAAACTCACAGAAAACTGATCCTTCTGCAGACTCTGAGTCTCAGAACGAGCAGGAAACTGAGCTCATGGAGGATTTGAAGACTCTCAAAGAGGTCAAAAGTTTTTTTTATGTTTTATTTTTGAAAAAAGTTGTTCATTAAAACATGCTTCATGTGTTTTTGAACCAGATCAATAAAAAGCTGAGGAAAGAAGTCGAAGTGCTCAAGAAGAGTGTTGATTCATCACAATGCGAGCTACAGGAACTGAAGGAGGAGAGAATCACCAACTCCAAACACCTCGCAGACCTGCAGGCGGAGCGTTCGCAGCTGATCAGAGAGAAAGAAGAGCTGCTGAGTCGAACAAACCAAGTTCTGACAGAAACGAAGGAGAAGGGCTGCCAACACAGGTGAGACGCTGATTCTTCAGCAGGTGAAGCTGAACCGCACAGCCTACAGTCTTCATTCTGATCTGTTCCACAGGGCATCTGCAGACATGCTGGAATCAGAAGCTCAGAAACTGCGGGGTCAGTGTGCGTCTCTGGAGGCTCAGGTCCAACAGAAGGAGGAGATGCTGCACCTGCAGGACGATGAGCATCGCAGACAGGATGAAATGAGAGTTCGCTGCATCGAAGAGCTCAAAGCTGAGACCTCACACTGGACCCAGAAATGGCAAACTGTGGCTTTGAGCCTTCAGGCCACAAAGAACCAGTTAGAAGAACTGAAGAACAACTCAATAAATAAAGTAAGAAACCCATTCTTTTAAAAGCGCTTTGTGTGACATCAACCCAGTTTTACCTGCTGGGGTCAGGAGATGAGATTTTCCTCTCTCGTTTTCAGCGCAAATATTGCTTTTGCCTATTTTTAATTGATGGAAAGTTTCACTCAAAGTTCAGGTTTTGTGGAAAGCAGCAGAGTTTTTCTTAGAAACTGCCTGAGGGTACGGTGGCCCATAAGGGTCGACAGAATGCAAAAGCCACAACACGACGTCAAGAAGAGCTCCAATAAAAATAAAATAAGCTTTATTTTTACAAAATCCTGTAGAGTGAAAAGCAAACAATCCCACAAAAATAACCAGAAACAAATAATAATAAAAAACTATGTTAAAGTGGCTTTTTAAACATTTTATTGAACATCAAAACAAACTTAAATAAAAATAACAAAACAAAAAAATGTTTGCTGTATTTTAAGAGAAGCCAACCTGATATTTATGGTAAATGGTACTGAACTTATAGAGCGCTTTTCAAGTCCCTCCGGACCCCAAAGCGCTTTACACTAACAGACATTCACCCATTCACACTCACATTCACACACTGATGATGGCAAACTACACTGTAGCCACAGCTGCCCTGGGGCACACTGACAGAGGTGGGGCTGCCATACACTGGTGCCACCGGACCCTCTGACCACCATCAGTAGGCAAGGTGGGTGAAGTGTCTTGCCCAAGGACACAACGACTGAGACAGCTGGACGGGGGATTGAACCAGTGACCTTCCGGTTCCAGGATGACTCTCCTAACCACTCTGCCACAGCCACCGCCCATTTATATTGCAAAAATTAAATTGAATTCCAAGGAGGGGTAAAGACTTTGATTTGAGTTGCAAATATACCAATAAAATAAAGTTTAAAAACAACACAGAGAAATAAGAAACAAACAGGAAATACAACATTTCAAAAATCAAAAGTAAAATAAAAACAGAGGAAGCAAACCTCGTGTATTTTGGCTGCTTTTTCTGTTTTTATTTTTATAGAGAATACGTTTTTACTTTTATGGGTTTCGATTGATGCTAATAATCTATAGATTGTTGAAATAATGTTTTTTAGCATCTGCCTGTATGCGTGTGTGTGTGTGTGTTCAAGCATTAGATACTAAAAATACTGAGGACCTGCTCTTTATGGGGCCCAAAGCTCAGGTTGCATGTTCAAAAGAGGTGGTGGGAGGGAGCTAGGACTAGGTAAGGGCCAGAGTTAGGCTAAAAAAATGGGAAAAAAAATCAATGCAAAGTCCCTTTGAAGATAAAAAGGAGCAGTTGTGTGTGTGTGTGTGTGTGTGTGTGTGTGTGTGTGTGTGTTGGAGTAAATTGAATTTAATCTTTAATTTCCCTGAAGGGATCAATAAAGTATCTCTAATCTATTGTCCTTTGCAGTGCAGATCGCTCAGAACAGTTTAAAAAACTTAAAATAAAGATGTTCATGAGTCTAAAGAACATGTTTTGTTTTAACTGTGACAATTTTCTGAGGACAATATAATGAATCGTCTCATCGATTTATTTTTTTATTTTTTTATTATTATTTTGGAGATGTTCAGGGGGAAATTCTGTTATTTTGTTTCAGAAGTAGAACTTGTGATGCACCTGTTTTTAATTAAACTGTTGTGATTTGTTCAGAAGGAGTCTGAAAACAGAAGAACTCAGACAGTTAAGGATGAAGGTAAAGAAAACAATTCATTTTCTGTATCTTTTCATTTTAACGCTGTTTGTCTTTATAAACACAAGAGGGCATTAAACTGCAGAGTGTTTGCAGGAGGTGAACCGGTGCAGACTGTGGACAGACAGACGCTCACTGAGTGAGTGGATGTTCAGATTTTATGTTTGTCTGCAAATTGTCCAAATGAAATGATGATCTTGTTTTTTATCAGCTCATCAGAATCATCTCTGATCCACCAGCACCCATCAGAGTGTCCCCAAAACAAATCCCTTCAGGTGAACAACTTGTTTCTCCTACGGCCAAATCAATTTTAGAACATTAACGAGAAACCCTAACTATGCAGAAAATATTTATTTTGTTGTTTACATTTTAGCTGCATCAGCAGGAGTGGTTAGAAAGCAGTGAAATTCAAAGGCTGAGACAAAAACTTGCAGAAAAAGTAAAAGAAGATAATGAAAGGTATGACTTTTTATTTTTTTGTAAGAGCTAAATGTTTTAAAGACTAAAAATCATATTTTACATGTTTTGTATTAGAAAACTTGCTTTAAGCAGATTAGAAAGGTTGCGGGAGAAGGAAAAAACAGAGTCTGAAATTAAGATATCTGCTCTGGAGCTCCAGGTACAACAACTGATCTCACTGGAAATTTAAAAAAAATCTTTAATGAGACTTAACTCATTTCATCACTCTTTTTTTTGTAAGCTCCAGCAAAAAGAGCCTGAAGATTGTGGAGAAGATGAAGGCCTGCTGGCAGATGCTTCAGGCTCACTCAGCATGCAACCAGATGGTACTTCTAAAAAAACACACATTATTTTTTAGATTTTTCTCTGAAATCTAAAACATCAATTTTTCCATGAACTTCCAGACAGCAGGAGGACAAGAGACGAGACCATCCAAGAGCATCAAACAAGACACGAATCAGTAAAGTTTCTAACAGTGACACACACACACACACACACACACAC